AGGGTGGCTAACCCCTAGGTTAAAAACCACTGTGCTAATCTACCTAAAAACTGTAAATAAATTAGTTAAAACTACCTCCACCTCGACCAGATATGACAGTAAAATGCTGCTTATACATTGATGCATCAGTATTAATAATGTAATTTATAACACATCAGTCACAAGGTCAGATCTTTCTCCAGAACAAGTACTTTTTATCTTTAAATACTGAATATTTAGTAGGATTTTAAATGCAGGACTTTTACTTGTATTTTTAAACTGTTGTATTAATACTTTACTTAAGAAAAGGATCTGAGTACCTCTTTCACACTTAAAGGCATTTAGACTGTAACAGTCATTCTGTTGTTCTACCACATGGGTGCGCCAGTGTACTCATGGTCGTCTTCTTTCCTGCTGTGATAAATGACAAAACAAGACCACTAATAGAGAATGTAATAGAGAAAATCAAGGTACAAAATATCCTAATCATGTCATAGATGTCCACTGTGCAAATTTACACAGGGAGTTTAATACAGGTTTTGTTTTAAGCTGGTTCTTGTTGATAGATTATTCTTCTTACATAGTTGTTGCAATAGTCAGTAAAGTTAGTATGAACACATTTGAACCAATGATTGTTTTGGCAGCGTCTTAACTTTGCTGTGTTTCTATTTGTAGGGATGACTCCGCTGAGGTTGATGTTTATAACCCTCAGAAGAACGAGTGGGACAAAGTTAATCCGATGACCCAGGTTTGTATTTCACATCTGACTCTTGTCTGCTAGCACAGTAATGAGAAGTGTCATTAATTCAAAGATAATAATAAGCAGAGCTGTTTTAAATACTGCAGTTTGTCACTAGTTAATTTTATTTTTCTGAATACAGCAAAGGGGACGGATGAATGATGCCAGTATGATTACTTTCAAGCATTATTAGGAAATGTAATTGATGCCTCTAGTGATATGACATTAACTTATTAGCCCCAAAACTAACCAAAGGCTGTAAAAGGAGACTCAAATGAGACTGAAATATGTATAAGTACCATAAGTTGAATAATTTAAATGGAGTGTAAGAAGAACTTTAAAGCCGTAAATTTCCCCTTACTACCTTATGTAATTATTTGTTCATGTATTACAACAAACTCCATTTTCTTAATCTCATTTCTTTTACCCAGGTCCACGTTGGAGGCAGTGTGGCAGTCCTCGGCGGTAAATTATACGTGTCTGGTGGTTACGACAATACGTTTGAACTGTCAGATGTGGTGGAAGCCTACGACCCGGCCACCCGCACATGGACTATTGCTGGACGACTACCTCAGCCGACCTTCTGGCATGGCAGCGTCAGCATATTCCGCCAGTTCATGCCCCTGGTGTCCAGCGCTTTCGAGCCTACTGACACACCCGAGTCAAACGCCATTCACCTGCACCGGCACCAACGTCACCACGCGCTCCACAATCTCAACAACAATCTCAACCAAAACCAGAACCAGGACGTCAACCCAGCGCACTGAGTTTGGAGCTAGAAATCTGTGTTACATTTTGGGGTCTGTCCTCCCTCATTGTGCCATGAGTAGTTTACCTCATCACAATGCTAAAGTTGAGCATGTACAAAGTAGTCTGAGCTCCTTATAATCCACTTGAATAGCAAGCTATCATCCTGATAATCATTCAAGCCTTTTGACTGGATGAATAACAAAGAGGCCTTGTGTTTCTTAGCCCCATCTGGTCTCACTGCTTGGGAGACAATGTCGGATGGATCTAGTAGAAGTGTTTAGGGAAGCGGCTGCCTTTTATGCTCCTAATCATACAGTTAGTCCTCGGCTTCAGGTTGTGCTCGATCAAAACTAGTTTGCACAACATATCGTCCCATCATGTTCGAAATCCAAAATGTCTTTAGTTGTTCCGAACGGCTACACTTGAAGGGAAAGTGAGAAGCCAGTCTTCGGTGAGGTGTGATATTATTTAAATATGGGGATAAGTGCGCCCTTTTTTTAGACAGTCTCTCCTGGAAGAGATTCATAGTGTCGGTTGTTTCCATGAAAAGTCACAGGAGAGTGAGAGTTGAGCTAGAGAGTGTCACTCCCTCCTCTGCGCTTCTGACTAATCACAACATGAAGTGGGTGTGAATGTTGGATTGTCCATTTTTTGGAAATTTATAGAAACCCTCAAACTTCTGAAGAAGTATACTGACAGCTTCATCTTAAGCCCCTTTTACTCTGGACAAAAAGCCCACTAACACCCACTAACATCTGGCTTTTGTCTTCAGTGGGAAGGAGTACAATCGGTATTCATTCCCGGGTCAAATGAGTGCAGTAGTGAGGGGTATTCATCGGCTCCAGGTCTGATCGGCAGTGTTGGAAACATGACACCCGGGTGGACGCGCTACTTTTTTCCCCCTTTTCTGGTGAGACGTTGATGCACGTTCTACATTGTTTATTGTTTTTTTTTTTTTACAGTCTATGGGAACAACGTGCCATGTGTAACACTGGCAAGACAGTGAATGACAGTGAGAGAGCTGCTCCTGATTGGAGGGGAAGAGGGAATAAGGAGAGCACTGTGGAGTTAGGTCTGGCTATGCAAGACTACCGGCACTGTGAGATACAGACATTGAGATATACAACAACATATCAAAAAGCAAAATTTTTAGTAACATGACATGGCACATGGAAAAAAATAAAAGAAAGGCAAACTTGTCTTCTGGCAATTGGGAAGGAGTCAGTCACCTATTTGTTTAGGTTTACCTGCATTTAAAAAACCTGCATACATGTGCTAATTTCGGTAAATAGGGTTATGAGTGGTCTTTTCCGAAGGATACTCTTTGACAGCACTTTCGATAAAACAATGTAACCTTTGTTCCTTTGTCCAAGTAGGTTTTCTAGTACAGTGTCTGGTGGGCTTATTACTGCCCCCACTGTAACTACAGTTGGTGAAAACAACAGTTTTAGTGGGTCTTATCTCCTAGTGGCCACAAGGTGCCGCAACAAGGCCATTCCCCCTTTTAAAAAAAAAACTTGGAAAAGCCGCACAAAGATGAGATTTCTGCTTTGTGTCGTTTTCCAAACTATGTTTTGCTGTTTGCAGAGAAAAGACTTTAAGGATGAAGTATAACAAATATATATAATAAATTCCCACCTTCGATAAAGAGCAGTACAAAGCCGCTTCCCTTAGTTTTTGTTATGTGAACCATTCAGGACCATCTTCTACACAGTGGAAGAGGCAGTCGCCAACATGGCCACATGGCCAGGTGTCTGTGTATAGACCTCTCTGTATTAGCAGGGAATTACTGTGGATTGTTTTCCTACAAACACAATAGATTTAAAATTTGAAATGCTTCAGAGGGAACTCCACCGTTTTTATGCATTTACAGGTCTTCGGGAGTACTACTGCATATGTGAAAACAAGGTTGTGTTGAGCCTTATGTTGCTCCAGAGGGAGCTGCGCGAAATCTGTTAGACTGCCTCGAGTGATGTCACTTGAGTCAGCAATGGTTGCGGCTGAAGACTAAAAGTTTGAAAATGAAAAAAGGACATGGCGTCAGAAATAAGTGAGCTTACCGGACCTCTGTAGCTCGCTCCTCATCTCTGACTGAGGGTAGCGACTCGAGGCTACATTAGCTGCTACGAGCATAACAAATCGTTGGTGGTTGAGTTGCATTGTGGGTAACGTAGGTGTCCTCAAGTTTTGATGAAGAAGAGGAGACAATCTCTGGTTCTGCTGCTTTGATTTTGATCCTTTTTTATATAAGCTGTTCACTGTGAGCATGGATGTTTTAAGGGAGAACTGGATACAGCGTCGTAGGCAGGGCCCCGTTCATTCTTATGGAAGCTGCTTGGTGGCGCACGAAGCAGAAAAAGTTAGTTTTCCTAATATAATATTACGCTGGTCTGCATTGTGGAGCAGCGCACTAGACACTTCCACCTGCGAAGCATGGCTGAGCGCGGCCAAGCTGCTAGCTTCCTGTTTAGCCCTCCATTAACTTGAATGGGGGGGGTGGGAGGGGGAATATTTAATTGTGGCTCTTCTAGACTTTCCAAATGTTATTGGACCGAATGGATCAAATTCTGATGAAACAAGTCATTTGCGCGGGTTGTGATGCTCAAAAGAATGTATCCACCGTTTTACAGCTGTTTTGTTTAAAGTCTTGTCGGGCCCCCGGTGCATCGCGTGACCGACACCATTGCTGTAAACACACGGTTTGGCCACTATGTCAAATTGGCTTCAAATCCCGGCGCTCTTCCTAAAGGACTTGACCGTGAGTCTGTCGGTTTTTATAGGAGTGCAGTGCTTAATCGGTGGAGTACCCTTCACATTTTTGTAGCCCAGAGCAAGAGACAAACATTTGGTCAGAAACAGCAATAATCTGTTTACATTCCAAAAACGACGGCAATCACAATTGATTTCTAGCTCTAAACAGACTTGTGGTTTAATAGGATGGGTTGAAATATCTCATACTCAAAAGTGTGCTGAGTAATCTTCTATCATAATAATAGAGTTTCAGAATGGTTGCATGTGAAGTTAACTGAAGTTACTGGGTTGATACACTATTGCTAGTGATAATTAGCATCTCTTTGTGTCACTCCTGACCTTTTAAACTGGGCTACATCAGCCTTTATATAACCACCAGTCAAATGTGCATGAAGAATTTTCTTTGAAAGTTGTATTTACGTCTGTTTTTAATGGTGTTTATGTTTATTTATGAATATATTTGTGCCGTGGTTGTTTCAGATGTGCCTTCCTGTCAGTTGCAACATGAAAACATTTGGTAAATGTTGGTGATGGGGTCGCCAGTCTCAACTGGAAGTGCAAAAGAATCTCAATTTGTTTTCATGTAAAATTAGTTTTGCTTTAATGGTATTGGTATTTTTGAGTGTTTTTATGGTAATGTTAATGCATCCTTGTTTTCTTAGTTTTCATACAAGTTTGTGATGTTGAATACGTTTTGTAAATACAGTATATTCTTAACCTTACGTACTGTTACGTAGTTGGATAATGTTTACAGTGTGGTTACCATAAATTAAACTGCAGGCAGGTCTGAGAGTTTATTCTGCTGGGTCACATTTGATGAGCTGTTAGCAGGTTGCAGCCAAGTGTGAAAAGACATAATGCATTACGTTTTTTTTAAATAAATATTAAGAGTAAGCTAATGCATTCCCCTATAAAGCTGAATATTTTAACATAAAAAAATCATTAACCTGTGTAGCCTCTTAATTCCAAGAAAGGATGTCTGTAAACAATCTGCATGTTACAACCTGTTTATAAGGACAGTATAAATTAAATTTAACAAATGAATTGGTTTTTTAAACATTAAAAGGTGCCCTGTGGAGTTTTCTTGTCAACAAACAAAACTTTACAATTACACGTGTATCCTTTAGGTCAAACAGACATTGAATGCATCTCTTTCTGCATAACATAATTGTTAAACCAATTTTAACATTATTTCCATCCATGTTTGCATACTGGCAGTCTTCTTCTTCACTACCTTTGCAGCAGCATTGTTGCTTCTTGCGCGTTATTGCCATCAACTGTTGGTCAGACAGATAGCAGGGAGTAGGTCACCTGTGTCCTCAGTTGCATGCAACAAAAACCCCACACATAAAAACATTGGTCCATAGCGCTACTAGTGGTGAAAAAACACCACAGCGTAACTCTACCCAGCCTGTCCATATACAGACATACACTACTCACTAAAAGTTAGGGATATTTCACTTTCGGGTGAAATTTATGGAAAATGTAAAAAGTTGATGCTACAGTGATATTATATCATGAAAGTAGGGCATTTAAGTAGAAGGTCAAATTAAGATCACCTGGAAAGGTTATAGTGCAATTTATGTACATTCTGAAATTTCATCCGAAAGCCGAATATCCCTAACTTTTTGTGAGTAGTGTATATCTGCCCTGGTAAGAGCCCCACAGTCAGCGTCTCTACAAACATCCACCTTAAAGTTTGACACTTTGGGAAATACGCTTTCTTGCAGGGAGAAGATTGATACTTCTGTGTATGGTAAATATGAAGCTACAGTCAACAGATGGTTAGCATTGCTTAGCACAAAGACTGGAAACGGGGAAACAGCTAGCCTGGTCGTATTTAAACTTAAAAGTCCCCCTCTACTCGAAAATATATTTTTCTTCCTGTTCCTACATTTGGATGTTTGACCTTCACTGTGCTGAATAGTGTATGTGCAGTTTTACACTAGAAAGATGTTTTCACATTAATCTACTGAAAGTGGAAAGTTTCTCTGCTCACTGAGAGTCTGATTTTAAGGAGCATGATTTATGACGTTTCAAATAGTCTGGAAGTCAATCCTAGTCCAATATGCAATTTATTATTATTTAAGTGTGATGTAGAAACTTGAAGCCACCAGTGCTCAGACACTGAGTATGGACTTTAAAGTGAAGTAGGAGGCATCTGGTGTCCAGCAGGAAAACTTAACATTTACATACTCATAGATTCATAGATTGTTCCAAGCAGACTATTTATATATGTTATAAACACATGTCTGGAGGGGATCTTTAACTAAATCTTTCTACCAACTCCTCTAAAACTCACTAATTAGCATGTTACATATTTTTTGTTCGTCAAGTCTCCAGTGAGCTCTGAGTAAATGCAGGGCAACCAGTGGAAACACCAGGAAGTTACCAGCCGTGGTCAGTAAATACTCATTTCCATTTAACTGCAGTTGTCGTTTTTACACTTTGGTTTTTGTACATATTTAACAAACGAGATCCAACCAGTTAATTAGTGAGCTCTCGAGGTGCTGGTGCAGATTTTAGTTACCATTTGACTGTAGACCGCCTGAGTGTATTTCCCAAAATGTCGAACTATTCCTTTAATACCTTTAGTGAGGATAACTTATTACTGGTTTTCCAGAGTCCAACTGCAGTAAGCACATAAAAAAAAAAGACTCAACAAAAAACAAGCATTATTTCATATTCAACCAGCCTTCATAAGCATGCAGTTCATTACTGCCTTAACTACTAAAAGCATGAGAAATATGGCTGCTCTTCTCTTGCAGGTGTACACACTCAACAGTGACTTTGCTGTTTCTTTATCTTCGAATCTGTGAGACCAGATATTTAAAGGGTGTTCCTCATAATCCCTTATGTCACATTTAAGTGCTTCTCATTCAGGTTCGAGTGGGTTTGAGTGAGCTCTGAGTGGGCCTTGCAGTCTTCAAGTCTTACTCTCTGATAAATTCTCAACGATTCCCTCCATATCCATCGTGGACTCGTACGCCTCGGTGACCAGCTGCGTTTGCTGTAAGACTTCTGGCACGGAGAAACTCTCAGCTGCCTCGACATGACCCAGGTTCTGGTTGGACACCACCTCCTCCATGACCGCGACACTCGGCTCGATCACCACCCTCACTATGCAGTTAGAACTGAGGCCTATCCCGGAGTCAGGCTCTGGGTTTGTGGATTCTTGGATGTCGGCGGACTCTGGGACGTAATCTGTCTCCTCCCCGATCAGCGAGGCTTCCAACGCTTCAGTGTTCTCGGTCTCTCCAGGACTGCGGTCCACATCCTGCACTATCACGTTCCTCAGTTTTCTCTGCCGAGGGTTGTAGTTCTCAGTGCGTTTGTGGATTTGAATGTGTCGTCGCAAGTGCGCCTGAAAGAGGAAGCGTGTAGAGATAGGACATGTGTAAGGGGGTAAAAATGCAGTTAGTATTGATTCAGCCCGAGTAGAGTTGAAACATTTATTCCAGCATTTAAAATATGAGGATTTGTTGCTTTTCTTTGTCTATTGTGAAGGGAAATGTTATAATTTTGGAGTTTGGACTGTACAAATGAATAACCCCAATATCCCACCAGGAAGTTGCAATGTTTCAATCCCAACAATGAACACAAACTCAACCAATCACTGTGAATTCTACGCAGCCTTGCAATTTTGTGCACTCACAAATTATTTTTTTGTACAAATTTGACCAACCTTTTTTCCAGGCGGGAGGGCAGAGAGGTGAGAGACATTTTTCTTTTCATTTTCAAGAGGCTACATTTTTGCGAGTTGGCGGTGATGACCAATTTGTTGTATTATGGGTATTATGGAGTTTGATGATTTCAGTATCGTTGGAGATTCTCAGCACTGCATTGATATGGGTGGCAATATTACTTGTAATGTTTTTGACCCTGATAACTTAAAACCATTAAATGATATATATAAATATTCACTGTTACATCTTAACATCAGAAGCTTAAACAAACATCATTCTGATTTAGCCTCCTTACTGTCTAACTCAAGCTGTCATTTTGATGTTATTGGGTGTAGTGAAACCTGGCTCAATGACTTTTCATATGCCACATTAACAGACCAAATAGAACAGATGGAGGGGTCTGCCTCTATGTTAAGAGCAGTCTCCAAGTAAAAACCTGTGATCTTTATTTAGAGGATGACCATTGTGAGTCTTTATTCATTGAGATTAACAATAATGACAAAACATTTATTGTCGGTGTACTCTATCGCCCACCAGACTCTGCTCTTGACACATTTTGCTGTAAACTGGAAGATCTATTACATAAACTGAATAAGCTAAAAAAAAAGACTGTATACTCCTTGGTAACTATAACATTGATATTTCCAAGGAAGATGGGGCAAAACATGACTTTATGAACACATTGCACTCCTCCTATTTCTTCCCCACCATTAATAGATTTACTAGAGTTACACAGACATCCAAAACGATTATTGACAATATCATTACTAATATTCAAAATACCAAGCTGGAGACGGGAGTCGTGCAGTCTGACATCACAGACCATTTTCCCATTGCAATATTTTTTGGCTCTGGCAAATCGTTCTCTCCTCCACTCTCTAAACTTAAATCTAAAATCCTTAATGAGAGAACCTTACAGCATCTAATTGTAAACTTACAGGCCAAGTTGTGGGACTTAAATGTCATATCGACCATCTTGTAAACAAACTGTCCAAGTATGTTGGCTTGTTCTATAACATCAGACATTTCCTTCCTCTGTCTGCCCTTCTCACGTTGTACAAAACTTTCTTTGAACCACACCTTAACTACTTTTACTGTGATATGGTGCAACACCTTCACCAGCCATCTTAAAAAACTTGTATCCTTGCAAAAGAAAGTGATACGGGCTCTGCCCTGGTCAGAGATAAATTCCCCCACCCACCCTCTATTCCACTGCTTTGAGTTACTAAGACTGGCTGAGCTAAATGAATATCATAATGCCTGCCTTATGTTTCAAATTGTCAACAGGCTGAACTCTAGACTGAGTAGCAGCACACATACCAAACGAGAAGAAAACCACTTATATTAGGAAAATGTCGCCGACATGTGCGCACCAGTATGAGTTGTGTTGTCTGTAGGGGGCCGCAGATCTGGAATGGGATTGATGATGGCCTCAAGGTGTTGCCCTCTATCTCCAACTTTAAAAGACAACTAAAAAATAATTTCCTATTAACCTATATCTAATATAAAACTGTTTTCTCATGGACTACTGGGATGTATGTGTATGTAATGTTATGTATGTTCTGGTGCGCTCTGTGCGTGCATTTACTCATCAACTGTGTATACCATTGTCTGTACCACTACCCTTTCATGAACCATGGGCCCCCACCTATAAGCTTTCCTAGCTTCCTTGGGGGACCCATTCACTCTACCCAATTGATTTTGTACCCCAACTGTGTCATTGTATTATTGTAATGTTTGAAGTGGTATTGTGAATAAACTCAAACTCAACTAAAAAAAAAAAAATCATAGCAGTTGCTAAATGCTGAGTCATATGTCACCAAACTACTGGGGATTTTATTCTTACTGGAACAAGTTGTTTTAATTTTTGAATGAATTATAGAATATAATGAAAGCAGGTATTTCAGCCCACAACAATCCCTAAATTAGAGATGAGAGTACATTTTGCAGTGTTGGACGCAATGAACAACATCACACAGGCACTAAACACATTCAGGTACATTCTCTGGTTTTACTTCACACAAAGGCTACCATCCCTGTCCAGAGAACAAAGGCTCACAATGTTCACTGTGTGAATACTGCTGAACACTGCTTATGCGCAGGGCCTCCACGCAGCCTCAGTGGCCTAATGGATAAGGCACTGGCCTCCTAAGCCAGGGATTGTGGGTTCGAGTCCCATCTGAGGTGTGTAGCAGAGTGGCGCAGCGGAAGCGTGCTGGGCCCATAACCCAGAGGTCGATGGATCGAAACCATCCTCTGCTAAATTAATGACTTTTACAAAGATGATGAATGGCTGTAGAGCCAGTGAGCAGGAAAAAGGAGACGTTACCTTGGGCTGTGGGACACTCTGAAGGGCATTTTTCACTTTTCTATCACGTTGTTTAAACCAGAAAAGTGTTTGAATAATCAATAACATTATCTGCAGATTTATTGATAATGAAAATCATTGTGTGTTGCAGCCCTAGTATTCTCTGTGTGCTCCCACCATGTTTTTGGCTTTGACCAGGTAATATGCAGGGAGTTTAGTCTGTCTGTTGCAGTCTGGGAACACTTTAGTATTAAAGTCACCAATCCTCTCAAGTGTAACAAATTCTGTGGAGGATTTTGAAACCACATGACTTAAAGGATAACTCTTACTCATCAAAGACTGAGCAGTTGAGCAGAACGTGTGAAAAAAGTTGTATGAAGCTGTGCAGAGTGGGATAAATCGCCTTAAGTGATGTCACTTGAGTCAGCAGAGGTCGGGGTTGAAGTTTAAAAACGAAAACCAGACGTCTGTAGCCGACTGCTCATCTCTGATTGAGACTAGTGGCAAGGCTAAATTAGCTGCTACTAGCGTAACACACCTGTCGGCAGTGGTGTTGCATTGTGGGCAATGTAGGCGTGTTTTTTTTGTAAACTCGTTGGAGTACTCTTACCGATGTTACCAATTTGAAGAGATCACCTTGGGCTTTAGGTGACTGTAATGTGTTTTCATCAATGAACCCAGAATGCAACAGGCAGATTAACTGACAATGTAAATAACTGTCGGTTGCGGCGCTACGAGTGAGCCTACCTGCCGGGTGAACTTGTAGCCGCAGTCTATACACTCGAACTTCCTCATGCCCTTATGGCGACGCAGATGAACACGAAGTTGCTCCCTCGCTGATGACGGCAAAAACCACAAGAGGAATCACATTAGCGAGTCCTTAACTCCGTGCTCATTAGGGCACAAAACACAATGTGTTCATGGTTAACTGTGTTTTACCTTTGAACGTTTTGCCACATATGTGACAACAGTGGGGACGGCCCTCCTCGTGCTTGCTGGCCTTGTGCCGGACGAGGGCGCCTTTCTCTGTGAAGCGCTGCTCGCAAACATCACAGCTAAAAGGACGCTCGCCAGTGTGTGTCCGGTTGTGTTTATCTAGACTGGCTGGTGTTAAAAAGAGAGTGATTAATACAAAAAATAATATCTTCACGAGTTAAAGTTAGCATTGTGTCACTGACAGAGAAAACGTTAGTGTTCAAGAACTTCTCTCTGATTGCTCAGAGTGTAATCTATGAATCTATTAATGAATCTATTAATGACTCCAGGGGTTTTCAAAGTCAATCTTTCCAATTCTGTAATATTCTGAGCCAATATATTGACTGCAACAAGAAAAAAAAAGGGTAATGTTAAAGGCTAAACAAAGTATAATGTCATTTTTACTGAGTTACACTGTGAGCTACAACGTGAGCCCATATGGTTCTACATTTCAGCAAACTTGGCACCATTAAAAGAATGCTGAATTAGATATTAGCAGATCTTGTTTTCAATGTATTCACAGATGTACCGACAACTATCACTACATTACTGATTCTCTAATCTAGTTCCGGAGTTGCTCCCTATAACTCCTCTTTTTTTCTATGATTTCTCAGCAGATTTATGCACGTTTATATGCGATGAGCCTTCATGAGCTGTGTGTCACAGCTACTGCTCCAACTCCAACTGCTGACCGTGTTGGTAAATGAACGTATGCTCACACGTTATCTTTGCCTCACATCTCTCCCTCTGTGTATCTAATCTATTCACCATTGTTATGCTGACTGTGATGGCGATGGCAGCAGACCGGGAAGAACAGCCTTTACCTTGCGTCCTGAAGGTTTTGCCACAGAGATGGCATTGGTATGGCCTCTCCCCACTGTGTATACGCAGATGCATGTTTAGGTTGTTCTTCTGGGAGAATGCATGGCCACATAAGTTACACACAAACGGCCGTTCATTTCTGTAAAAGCAGAACCAAAAAAAAACATGAAACAATCTGCTATCATTTCCAAATTTACATCCACCAATATCATCTAAAAGGCACATTTCGCAGAGTTGTTAGGTCCCTCTAGTCTAATCAAACCAGTACTGTAGCAGACAAAAAGAAAAGGGTTCCACTACCTGTGAATGGCTTTGATATGCATCTGCAGGCCATTTCGACTAGATGCTCGATGGCCACACTCCTCACACACAAACGGCTTCTCGCCTCGATGTTTGGCCGCTTCGTGCACTCGCAGCTCTGTCCGAGTTAGGAAGGTTTTGGGGCACTGGGGACACTGAAAAGTAAAAACGGAATCAAAACTACAGACCTATACATTGGATGCAATGACAATTTCAACCTTGAAATCCCTTTTTTATGTCGGTACATCACCAGTAAGTCAAAGTCTCATTGAAAGAACTCACTGCATGTGGTTTGGGATAACCATGGACCTTCATCATGTGAATCGTCAAGCTTTTCTTGTGCATAAACTGTTCAGGACACGTTGAACACTGAAAAAAAAAATGGCCGTGTTAATAAAGATATTTTTAAGAACTAATGACAGATTCGATATCACTTATTATATGATACGTTCTGTGTTTATTGGGTGCAGGCTTCACCTTGTGGGGCATATCTCCTGTGTGGGAGACAACGTGCAAACGGAGCTCTTCTTTTCCATTAAATGTTGAGGAGCATGTCGGGCAGGTGTACGTCTGCAACACAGCACAAACACTGGCGTTAAACTTTCTAGGATCTTCCCTGAACAGCTCATTGAATTGGACAAATGTTTTCTTGTTCTCACCTGTACTCTAGCACAGTCTCTTATCTCATGTATCAAAAGATTCTCCTTCCTGAAGTACCTCTTTCCACATTTAAGGCAACCAAAGGGCCTCTCCCCTGTATGCCGCCTATGAGAAAGACACATTAGTGGCTATTCTTTCAACGGTAATTTGAAGGAAAAATACCCAAGACAAATACCTGTTGTGGACTTTGAGGTAGTATTTGCTCTTGAAGGATTTGCCACAGATGGGACACTGCACAGAGTCTTTCTTCGAGTCTTCTTCCACGGCCTCGCCGTTCTCGTTTTTGTCTGTTTTAGACAGGGCCTTGCGCTTCCGTGCTGTTGATGTTGATGGGGCTAGGGAACTGGGCTCGGCAATGGGCACGTACTCCTCATCTGTGTCTTCAGTGATGCCTTCAAAATCCCCCACATCATCATCTTCTTCTTCTTCTACTTCTCCTATTACATGGCTTACACCATTATCATTTTCGTCGATCTGCAGCTCTGTTACCTGCAAACAGCACAAGACAGGTGTGATAATAACTGCTATATTCATCTTCATCAGTATTTGCACAGTTACATGCAGTAGCAATCATGGTAATACTTATATATATATATATATATATATATATATGCTTGTGTATTCTACCTCAGGTTCACCAGTTGGCTGATCTGAGCTTTGGTTCTCCACAACATCCCCACTTTCTCTCTCCGTGGGAATAAGTGGAGGCCTCTTGCTGGATTTTTCAGAGGCTGTAAGATCAGTGATGGGGCTCCCATCCGTCACCAGTCGCCTGGGGCCCTTCACTACACGACCGGAGCGGGTGGTGGTGGTGGTGGCGGCGGCGGCAGCCATGCTAACATTGGCTGTGGCAGTGTCAAAGCTGGACTCATCTTTTGCGATTGTATGCACATTTTCTTCCTTGACTGAACAAGGAGTTATATCTGATGTAGACTTTCTAGGTCTTCCTCTTTTACGCTTGAAAGGAACAGGATCCTCAGAGGTTTCCTTGAACTGCTGACAGAGCGCAAGTGCTTCTGGTACACACAGGCTGGCCGCTGCGTGCTGCACCTTGTCCAGGTTGTCAGGATTCAACTTCAGCTCTCCGGTGTAGACATAGTTCAGGAGCAGCTCCAGGCCATCATTGGGGCACTCCTGAAGGCAGAACTCCATGCATGTTGCAGTGGGCATGTTGGACTGTTGGAACAGTTCACTGAAACAGGAAAGGATGTTGCGATGTGCCAGGTAGACCACTCCACCTCCCACATTCAACACTGCATCACAAAACCTCCCTACTGCCCTCTGCTGGTTCAGGGAGGACAGGACACGCTGGGCATGGTTGCTCTCTGCTGCAGGCATCCCTTCGGTTTCACTTCTGCTGCTGCATGAGACACAGGGACGTTATATAATACATAATATAAAGTAACTTATTACATTACCCATACAGTATTTACTCTAGAACCCTCCCTTGCACCGCTTTAGTCTTTGTAACCTTGAATACACAGTTTACAGTAACAGTTTGACAATGTATACAGACTACAGTGGCAAATAATGATTATTTTAATCACTGATTAATCTGCCGAATTACTTATTTGTTTTGTCCATATAAATGTAATTTCTTGTTTTCTTTGACCATCAGTTCAAAACTTTAAATGTTTTCTATCTTTCACTGAAAAATAAGCTTGTATATTGTTGTTTATACATAATTATATGTATGACATACATAAAAATGTACCCACAAAATGCTGCTTCCAGCTTCTCAAATTAAATAAAAATCTGAATAATATTTGGGTTTTTAACTGATGGTCACATTAAACAAGAAATTAGACTACGCCACACAGATTGTGATGAGCATGTTTCACCATTTTCTTATATTTTATGCTCAAAACAATTTGAAAACAATCAGATGAAGTAATCCTTAATGAAAATAACTTTAATAATTTTAATGCTGGATCTTCCTGAGATACTGAGAGTACACTGAGAGCCAGTGGAAACCAGACTCAACACTTCCTTGTGTGTCCAAACATACTTAAAGCAAACACTTCATAATTTATAAAGAGTTGATTTGAAAAATGCACAAGACAAACAAAGCATGTCTGCAAATGCAACTTTTTTTTTTTTAAATGAAGTGTCGAATAATAATTAGATGAGACTGAAATCACTCCCATCAGATAAAGTCACCCACTTCTTAAACAATATAGCCCACTGACTTACATTTGTTTCAGTGACACTTTAAATATGATGATTATTAAAATAAAAAGTCTTCACACTTTCTCTATTTCTGACACTATTTTCCTAGAGTGATCATATTTCTTGAAATGATTGCGACCCCCTACCTACCTGCGTACCTCGACGTTTATTTCCTAGCACATATTTTAAGACGATCCCTTAGCACGGCCCGCACCCGACAGCTGCACACTCAGACTCACACTCGCAGTATCGACGAAAAACGGATTATTTCCTCTTACTTGTCGGGAGGCAGCACCCGCTCCGGACACACTGTGAATAGTTTGAAAGCGTAGCAAAGCCGCTAACTTACATGCACCTTCTTTTCGTTTCTTCCAGGCCCCTAAAAACTGCAAAAGGAAGAGGATGTGACGCTGTTTACGCGACCGAACTCCGGGATAAATCTTTGTTGTCCATTATCAAACATCAACATGCACAGCAAAAAACAATAAAACAGCTACACATTAAATCATTATCTGTGTCTACATTGCTTTTATTGGTTTTTTTTTTTTTTTTAAATTTATTATTATCGTGTGACTACAGTAAAGAAAAGTGTAAGAGCTTTACATTGCGTTTCGTCGTAAATAATAAAACTCCGGGTAAAACCATAGTCGACCATCTGGAAGCGGCGTCTGTCTGTGGCTTCACACATGTAAGCAGCTAGCCTGCTAGCGCTGTTGTAGTAACAGTTGGCCACCTCCTCGGACTCCTCTTCGCCATTTATAAACCCTATCCATTTACAATAATCAATAAGAGTCATCTCTACGGCTCTAAGTTGGTTCTCACAAGCGAGGGGGTAAGTTTTCTCCACCTGAATGCGAGAACAGCAGCTAGCAGTTAGCTGGCGGTGAGTGCTGATAGGTGACGGTAGCCCTCGGTAACTTCACGCCGAGTTTTTAAAAATTCACGTCGCTTTGTTGTTGTTGTTGTTGTTGTTGTTGTTGTCTGACAGCCGGTTCCTGTGTGTACTGTGTGTGTTATTCAAACACACGTTGAGGAAGCAACTAGACGTCTTAGCACGGCTAGCTCAGCTTTCGACTTTATCCTAATAGTCCTCAAACATCGAGCTGTCTTCGGTTCGTGTGATAACGATTAATAAATGAATGGTGATGTTTTTGAGTCGTTTAGTTTCCGGGGGGGCAACTATCGAGGGGACACCGCTGACAGCATGGCTGCCCTTTCATGTGCTAATTGTCTTGCATCTCTTCTTTGCAGGCTCCCCCCTTTTTTTTTTTTTTTGTTTTTGTTTTGTTTTGTTTTGTTTTTTAATCATCTGCACCCCCCTACATGAGTCATTGTTGATCACAGAACCATGAAGGTGAACAAACCCACGCAGGTGAAGGGCCAGGCTAAATCTCAGAAGTGGAAGGATGTGAGGGGCAAACGGTGCAGGCCTCCCATCACTCCCTCACAGCTCAACTCCAGCCCTGTCATGGCCAGGGCGGCGAAGGAGCACCAGGCGACTGTGAAGAAAAAACCCAGCGTCAAGAGGCTGAAGAAAAAGGCCAAGGCTGTGTCTGACTCCAAGAAAAACCCTCCTCAGTCTGGAGCGAAGAAATCCCACACACAGGCGAATGGAGGTTCAGTGTTTACGATAGACAACGAGTCAAACGACTCACAGGACTGGAAGGAGTATTCCCAGTCCATCCACAGGAATGGCACGGAGACCTCGGGTGAGGTGGAAGACGCCAGGCCGGATAGACTGGAGGGACAGTCTCTGCATCACTGTGCGGAGAGAGACGATCGACAGAATCACGCCGTACTTGTCATGCAGAAGAATCAGGTATGCTTCAGGATATTTTGGTAAAGATCTTTCAGTTTTTACTGCCGTTTCTTTTGACTGAGCGTTACGTGATTCTCCTGCAGACCCTGTGTTTCCGCGGGAAGTGCTTTTTGACCTGTCTGTACGGTCGGGTAGAAGTGATGGGATTCACCATTGAAGAAGGCCAGGAGTCATATCCGCTCTTCTCCCCAGCCTCACACTGTCCCCTGACCATCAGAGCACTGGATAGCTCTGGTCACACCAGAGATGACAAAACTGAGGCTGCGTCCATCCTCCGAAAGTATCTGTCCGCAGGTAAACGCACAAGCTGCTCACCTGCGGTTCTATACTGTATAATTAGTGTTAGTTGTTAATGTTTTTCTGTCCTTAAACCGTTTTGAATTTGCATTTTGCAGCGTCACGGAAAAGGTTGCTAAAAAAGATTACGCCAAACTCATCCGTCATCCTACTGGAGCCCATGGAGACGCCTCTGACACGGTTTCTGTCGAGCTTTGCAGATCTCAGTGAATTGTTCAGCCCCCCGATGGTAAATTGACTGATATTTTTTAACATTAAGCTGCTGTCAGTATTCACCTAATCACAAGAGGGTGAGAACGTTATTATAGTTCACGTATAGGTTAATGTTCTTTTCCTCTGTGCTTGTTTTTAAGAGTGAACTCATGTCGGCTGTTCTTGACACTCCTCTGAATGGTTTGGGTATGATTCCCCTGGTCAGCACCATCCACGGCCTGAATATGTCACAGAGCTATAGAGATGCTCTCAACGCGATGGTCAGCGCCTGCAGAGGTAAGCTCCTTGTAGACATTCACCCGCGTTACGTAATGCCGATTTAACATGTCGGTCTCACGTCTGCACAAGGTTACATGCACGAAACACGTCTTATTCTACAAAAGATCTCAGAAAGCGTGTGAGCAACTAGAAATCATATTAGAGTCTTAATTTAACTTTATGTGTGTGCGCTGCCAGACGTGATATGATAGGCAGCAGAATTCACTGTCTAATATTGTTAAATAATAAAAGTGACTGGGATCCCACTGATCTCACCAGTTACCTTTTGTTGCCTCTCTCTCTCTTGTTTCTTGTAATTTCTCCTCACTTAACTCAACTGTATGTCATTTCTTTTCACTTCACTTCACTTCACTCCAGAAGCAAGAGCAAGCGTACGTTGTGCTCACAATGGTCATTAATTAAGACCTCAATGGCATAAATGTAAAAATCCAGCCCTGATGTAGCCAGTGAGACACAGAGAAACACCACGCTACTGAATGACAGCAATGTTATGTATTCCCTTTCTGATATCGGCTCACATTTGATGGCAAATTACTGGACACATGTCTTTGATTCCTAGGTGACATGGATGGTTGTGCAGTTATCTTTGTATGTGGCACCAAGAATGTGGGCAAGTCAACATTTATCCGCACCCTCATCAATACCTTACTAAATCAGTAAGTTCTCCTTCGTATATTTAAATATTTATACTGATATATTGTCATATTTTTATATTTATAGGCTAGATTTGTATGTGTAGTTGGTACTTGCATATTGTTATGATCCCTGTGTACAGTACCGTATCATCCGTTGATGTAACATTCCTGTAGAGGTCATTTAGAGTTCATCTTGAGTATGATAGTAATATTTTTGGCAGGAAACTAAGTGTGTGTGTGTGTGTGTGTGTGTGTGTGTGTGTCTGTAGCACAACTAGCGTAGATTATTTGGAAGGTGACCTCGGTCAAACGGAGTTCACTCCTGCTGGTTGCCTGTCTTTGTCGACTGTCAGAGAACCACTTCTAGGTATGTTTTTATCCTCTTGTTACTTCACGACCTTTTATACATGTTATTGTTTAATATTATTTCGTAATTTTTTTTACCTGTTTCCATAGATTTCTTTTAGTCTTTGTGATTATGGCGCATTTATTGCATTGTTAAAGCATTCTTAACTCTCTAGCAGCCTTCCAGTAGGTATTAATAAAAGTATTACATGTTAAAGGAATAGTTCAACATTTTGGGAAATATGCTCATTCTCTTTCTTGCCGAGACGCGAGGGTAAACAGCTACCTAGCTTTGTGCAACCACAACAACCAGCTTTTATAAAGGTCACTAATGAACTTATTTGTTTATCTAATATTTACTTTACAGTGTTTGTTTATGTGCCGGATCGTTCTTTCATATTTACTGAACAGACAAATAAGCAAAGCAAGCAAATAATCTAATATCCCAGAATGCTGTAGAGTTTCTTTCATATTTATCTGAGCAGTGTTTTCCACGTGTGATCCCTGTACTATGTGTGTAGTGTAAGAAGGGATTAGTAGACTAATGTTGAGTTATTTTTCAGGTCCTCCTTTCACACATCAGTGCACACCAGAGCACATGATCTACTACGGTCAGTCGTCATGCGAGGCGGACTTAGAGCGCTACCTGGAATCCCTTAAGTCCCTGTGGCGTAGACGCTCCCAGAGCAGAGAGACTCCCGTCATTATCAACACCATGGGATGGGTCAAAGGTCAGCTCAGGCTACCAACTGTGCAGTGGAAGAATATAAAGAACTTTATACTAACTGTGAACAGTGTCTGAACATGTGCTTTGCCTGGGCCGTCCACAGGGTTTGGATTTAAGCTGCTAGTGGACATGATCCGCTTCTTCCCGGTCTCACATGTGGTCCAGCTCGGTCACAGCGGCATCACCCAGTGTCCCGCCCTCACTCCAGAGTTTCTGAGGACAGCACACGGCTGCCAGACGCACCCACCCGCCCAGACCGCTCTGGACGAGTTTACAGAGAGCCACAGTCCCCCCAGAAGTTACACTCACCTTATTGTACAATCAGAGTTTCAAGGAGTGGGTCGCCAGGGAACAGCGTAAGTTCCCCGCTTTCGGTCTGTGCTGGCATTAACGTCTGAAATCTTTCATTATGTAGCATCATATTCTGTGTGTGCATTGTGTGTGTGACAGGAAATACCAGCGCACTAATGAGCACAGGGAGCTGTCACTGCTGGCCTACCTGAGTCAGCTGCAGTCTGCTGACCCTGGACCAGTTAGACCTCTACACAGCCTCACCCCGTACCAGGTACGTGACAGTCACAATGCTGCAATTGTTTTCTTCGTGATAGGATTCAAATTTTACTTTGTGGCATGTGAATTGTGGTATTATTGGCAGGTAAAAAAAACCTTGCAACACGTAAACAATAACAACAACACATGGTTCTACATCACACATTCTGTATCTGCTTGTCTCAACATTTAAAGAAATAGACTGTTTGGGAAATGTGCTTATTCGCTGCTGAGTTAGATGAAAGACGACTTTGAATGTGAATCTGCAGCTAGAAAAGAAACAAATTGTCGTTTTTACATTCCTGTTTGTTTGTGGATTAAACAACTGAGAAATAACGTGTTAATAATTACCTGACCATTCTCCCTCTGGCCCGTAGGTGCCTCACACAGCGGTGGCTTTAGGTGTGATCCATTGCGAGGTAGTGCCCAGTCACATGTTTTATGCCGCCAATGCCAGTCTGGTGGGACTCTGCTGCCTGTCAGAGAAAGTAACAAGTAGGGGGGGCCCAGTCATGCTGTCGCAGGCTCCCATCTGCCCATGTGTGGGCTTCGGTACGTGTCCTGTCAGAACTTTGTATGAATGGTCAAGTTAACCCTCATCTACCTCATTTATAACAAATAAGCAAATATTTCATGTTTTTAACAAATGTGTTTTGCCAAAAAGTTGTTCAAAGAAAAGTATAGTATGTTATCCTATAAAGTGATGTTACTTATGTTTTGGGTCAGTTAGACCCAGCAACAAAACTCAAAATTCAATTCTCATTAAATTAGAATACTTAAGGATTAAGGTGATAAAACAGTGTTATGTATGTGTAAAGAAGCCCCAGGGTCTCCAGGAACTACAGACTGAAGGTTAGGCTTTAAATGATTGCTCTTGGTTGTTGGATTGAAATGTCAATATTCAGTGTATTTACATATAGTCGTGTTCCAGGTGTTCTTCGAGGTGTTGACATGGCGCGAGGTTTGTACTTTTTGCTGACGCCTGTAGATCCCTCCATCCTTCGTAAGGTCAACTGTCTCCTCTTGGGAGCGATATCGCTGCCTTCCTGCATCCTCACAACACAGGTTCGGCTCTTTCATACACCATAAACAACGTTATTTTCCTCCCTTTACCATTGAAAGTGATCTGTCCAAAGCATAGTTTACCATGACTTATCGTACCTTTGGTCTCTGTTTCAGCCTGCCTCTGAGGGAGAGATACCCTATGTTACCACAGACTACAGTTTTGATCTCACTGGTGCAGGAAAGTTGCGAGTCTTCAAGGGACTGACGAGACCCAGCCAAATTGGGATGTAATGACATTTTCTACACAGCATCGGTTTATTGCCCTTTACTCTTCTTGACTGGTGTCTCACACCAAACCAAGTCAACATTGGCCTTTTGAATGTACAGAACTGAGGTTGAGCCGGACAGTTTTTATGTATCTCAGTTTCAGTCTGACACAGCTGCCAGTATCAGACTCTGCAGGAGGAGATTGCTGCCTCCCTGTTACTGGACTTCCTCGCTGAAAACCCCGGGTGTTCTCACCATGTCTTACAACCTCCTACTGTACTTACATTTGATGGCGCTGTGAAGGAATTCTGAGTTTCTGTGTTTTCTGTCACATGGACGATAATATTACACTTTGTAGTTCAAGCTGTTCTTTGTAGGTGGCATTCAAAAGCTGCAAATGAATACAAAAACCTGCCAGATATTAAATGAAAAACAACTTTTGTTCAGACTTTGTGATTTTCTTGCTTTCAGGTGCTTTTTAGAAACAGTTTATTTGTTTCACAGTCATATATAGTTATACATCCGTGTAGAATTCAGCCAGCCTTTGGCCATTTGATCTGTGTATTACATAATGCACTGTAGTCCCTGATTCAGACGGGAGTTTGTTTATTTGTGACAGTTGTATTATTGGATAAAATACCCACTGCCAAGACTTTTCATGCTTACATCAAACCCTCAAGTAAAGAAAAGGGCGGGGCAGTTAAGGTGGGTTCTTTGACGTGACATTCCCTGTGAATCTGATGGATTTACAAAAAGGAATAAGCTAAATTGTCAGTATTGTGTTTTTATGCCAGTCAGAGGTTTTATTGAATTGCTCCATTTTATTGCTGACTCGCTCTGCACTAACTGTTGCACATTTTGTATTGTGTTAAAGAGACACGTGCTCGTGCATCCAAGGCGTTTTGTAAATGCAACATGTTTACGATTTCTTATGTAGGCCTTTGTGGGATATAAAAGATACAATTCAAACACAGTATTGTTTCTTGGTGCTTCCTTTTGGACCTCTAGGGGGCAGCAAATGTATGGTGAGATTTTGCTCTGAACAAAAGCAGATGTTCCCATACAAGAAGTCTCAAGGGCAGGAAAGCTGCAATAAAAACTTTCAAGACACTGGCCTGTAATACTGAATATCTAGTGGTTCCCAATGCTTCAAAATCAAGACTAATTTAAGAAATGACTAACCGCTTCTGAAGAACTGCATGCAGACAGACTTTCAAATGATCTGACTGGCACAATTAAAGGAGGACTCGGTTGTAAACATCCACTCACACAGTGAAGAATTGCTAATTTGTTAAGTGGGCTGTTTTAACGTCCCCTCTCTGCCCCCTCGCTTTTCTTTGTTCGCTGTTCCCCGCCTCTTTATTTAGGGTGGGAGCACACAAACACGACACAGCTACATTTTGGCAGAGTCATTGTTTTGGCTTTGTCAGGTCAGATGTTTTCCCATAGACCTCATGCGAGCCAAAGAGTGATCCTGCTGTAGAGGTGCTACTAGACAGTCTACATGCACCCATTGATGATCAGACATAACAACACACATCTGTGAAATGCATTTCGGTCCAGAACATATTTAAATTGTTAATTATATAACAAGCGAGCACAAACCACAGATCTGTTCCCTCACTTTTTTGGGTTTATTTGACGTGGCTGCCATTTATCTGCACACTTTAAATTAAAGCTTGGTGTCACCTGCATCAATTTTTTTAAATTTAGTGATAGAGCTGTTACCATTTTTAAAAATAAGTAATTTCTTCAGCTGTATTTCCTAAACAGGATACCATCCATACATACAGAAAAGTATGAAAAACACCTACCAACGGGCCTGCAGAAATCTCATTTGTGTAGCTCTATTTTGACTAAGCCTTGTGTTGTTAAAAGCCATTGATCTGTGCTGCACTTATGTGGTGTCCTCCCTCCCAAACAAACGGTGCATCTGTCGCCTGCAAAGACAACTGGTTGAGTAAAGTGACAATGCAGAGGCAGTGTGCCATTGTTACCCCTCAGTTCAGCTCAGTTCAAAAATACATGGTTGATTTAGATGGATTTAGGAGGTCACGATGTGGATTGATTTTTTGAAACCACACAACGTAATGTCACCATGGCTGGATCAATGTGGTAAAGGATCCTCAGGACAAAAACAAAACTGTTGGGCCCCTTTTAACCTCCCCCTATTTCCCTCACCTTTTGTGCACCGTGTACAACCCCAGTTTTGCTGTGTAAAATTAGATTTTTACACAGGCAGAGTTCCCACAAGTCCTGGAAAACCTGGAAATTTAGAGACTAGTTTTCCAGTCATGGAAACACCTGGAAATGTATTAAATTTAAATGTTTGTATTTAAGCCCCTCATTCAGACTGCCTACATAAACTTAGGTGTGTATTTTGTTTGGAACATGACGTGAAAAGTGGAACTGACTAGCAGTGATCTTTTCAGTTTTGAGTCTATTTTTTCCAGAGCTCTGAGCGCAATTCTCATATCGACATGCATATAGCATCACATTTCTTGTTGCTATGGTTGATAAATACATGCACAATGGACGCTTTAACTATCAAGAAGATGAATTATTATTATTATTATTATTATTATTATAAAATAAAATAAATTCTACTTGATTTTAACTGTTACTTATGGGCTGTGGCCAAATTAATGCAGTCATCTTGCCTGAAACCACAGATTATATGACCATTTGTGAATTTTGTTAACAAAAACAACTGGAAAGTGTCCTGGAAAGCAGGAGAGGAAAACACAAGAGGAGTGGGAACCCTGTCAAGGCCCCTCTTCAAGTCAGGGCCTCAGATCAGGCAGCCCTAGTTGAAGGACCCATGTAAAAGGCCTTGAATGTCAGTTGATGTTGAATATTAGTAGAGCATGTTCCCAGGTTCGCAACCTACAACCTGTAGTAGTAAAGTGTTATTTCCAAAGGCAACAGGAATGTTAAATGCTAACACGACCAGAGCTTACGTTTGACAAATACCTGTTTACCTGACTGGAACATCTCCTGTGTGATGGGAGCCAAGAGTATATCACGGTTTGGAATAATGATAGCCACTGTCCTGCTCTGTATTTGGTTTGGGGAAGTTTACACTCCAGTGACTGCAGCCAAGCTTGTGTTAAATAGTGTTACATTTGTCAAACTTATTGGTTCTTCTTCATCCTTAAATCTTTCACGCTTGTAAAAGTTTAACTCACTGTTTGAAAATACAAAGCACAAATCAAACCAAGTATTTTTTTTTTCTATAATAAGCATCCAAAGGTTTTTTTTCCAAATAATACTGGGGCTAACTAGCTCCTTTATATCCATGTCTTCTAGTTACACCAGTGGTTCCCAACCGTTGGGGTCGCCAAAGCTTCACAGGGGGTCGCAACGCCTTCTTGATTTTAAGTGGTGTAAGGACACTTTATAAATTTACACAGTTGGCCGATATCTTAGCATTTGGGTCACTTCTGTTGAGAAAAAAAAGTAAATTGTCTAAAAGAAAAATATGCCGGGGACAAAAAAACACTAGATTTGTCAGAAAATAAGCCTATTGAGTCTGTATGATTGTTAGAAGTTATTTTAAAAATGCATAATACGGACAGATAATTGTATAAAAAGTTCCTTAAATGGAAATAATTAGCTCAAAATAGTTAAATTTATTGTGCAGTAATATTGTGGATATTAGTCAGGGGTCATCAGTTTACTTAATGATAGAAAAGCCGTTGCTTAAGGAGAAAGTTTGGGAACTGGTTTATTGTAACTGTAATTTAGTTTGTTTAATGATTATTTCTAACAAACATACAACATCACCCACACAAATAGGCTACCTATCCTACACATGAACACAACCATATAATGCAAACACACACATAACAATAACTTTGTGCTACTCTTCTTCTTGTTTTAATGTAAGAAAATTCATATTTATTTTGCCTCATCGACTCCTAATGCCAATAAAGCACATTTGAATTGAGTTGAGTGGATGTACCGTCGGTGTCTCTGGCGCCTCTAGCGCCACTGTAGCGACAGAGAGAGAGAGAGAGAGAGAGAGAGAGAGAGAGAGAGAGAGAGAGAGCTGCACCGAGTGAGTCTTTGTGGATCCAGGTTGTGTGAATGAATGGAGGAGAGCCGATGGTGGGTCAGAGAGGGCGGCGAGACGAAGCAGCAGCAGCGGACAGTCTGTGCTCAACTCCAGCGGCGCGGTGCGTAAAGTTCACAGAAGGGAGTCCACCCGTGGATCTGCAGTGTTAAAGCCCCCCTGAAGAAGCGTTTTTTGTTGTTGTTTTTTTTTTTTACCCCGACTACCGCCTCAAAAGCCTCGTCGTAACCCCACCGACGGAGCTTCACCGACAGACGCTTTCTCTGGACATCGCGGAGGTTTCTTTCTCTCAAGCAACAGGTTATTTCCAGCTCAGCACGGCGTCCAAACTTGCAGCTGAACCTCAGTGGTTATTAGACCTCTGTTAACTTTTCATTGTAAGAACCGAGGGAGGGAGGGGGGGAGGTAGGGAAGGGAAGGGAAGGGAAGGGGGGAGGTGGTGGGGATGCTTTTTCTTTTTTGCACACTCTTTTCCGCGCATTCACCGTGATGTGAGTTGCAGCTTTGTGCTCGCCACCGACCGGATCCTGCAGGCTGAGCGCACTGCGTTTGAGAGGCGGACGACAGACGGCAGGAATGGGAAGAATAAGACAGAATGCCATAGAGGAGAGTGCTCATTAAGACATCTGCTGCTTTGATTAGGATTGGAGGAGCCTGCCATCCCTAAACAGACAGACAGACAGACAGACCGACCTGCGAGGAGCTGCTGGAGTTGGTGCAGGAGGCTTTTGTTTTTTTGTCCAGGAGGGATATTGCATGCATAGATGGTGCCAAACAAGTGGACCATGAATTCAGTTCTGCACAAATCGCCACCGAGGAGCTGGCTCGGTCTCAGATTACGACTCAGTAAGTAAAAATTCATGAAGTCAGCTGTTGATCATCCTTTTCCATATCAGTGCCACCATCAGCAGCTTACTCTGGCTCCTTAAAATGAGCCACCTGAGTGCTTTTGTTCTTTAAGAAACACCTTGTGTAATTCAACTGTGAGCTCTTGCTCTGTAAGAAGTCAAGATAGGAAGAGGGGGGGGGGGCTCTCAGGACTTTGATCCAAAGGCACCACATCTTTGTTTCATGCTTCCCTCCAGTCATCAAAGTTAATGGCTTGGATTTGGCAAGTGACTTGAGCAATTATCCCAGCTGGAGGTGAGGGGTACTATTTTAGTCAGGGAGGACAGTACACAATGATCTGAAGCTCTCTTCTTGATGAAGGGCCTTCGGACAACTCAGCATAAACTCAGATGATAGATATTAGCTCTTGTAAATCCCCAACCAACACTATTTATTGTATTTTTTCCTCCCCCCACAGACCTGCCATCTGTGTGCTCTCTCCCCCAGCTCATAACTCACATCAAAGTGAACATTTTAATATTTTAACTTTTCCAGGGTTGCAGCTAACAGTTATTTCCTTAATAAATTAATCTGCCACCAGGAAATTGTGAAAGGTGCTCATTGCAATCTCCCAGAGCCGAAGTTTATGTATTTAAATTGTTTGTTTTGTCCAAAAAACAACAATAAGAATGAGTTTACAGTAACAGGAGATGAAGGCAACAAATACATATTCACATTTAACAGTTGGCACCAGTGAATATTTGGTATTTTTTGTTTTAAAAATGACCTAAATGATTGAATAATGGTCAAAAGTGTTGCAGATTAATCTTCTGTGAGTCCACTGTACGATGTATGCGGTGCTGGCAGTTCATGGGTTGATACAGTAAGCGTGGGGTTAAAGTTTAGCCGCCTTAATTGGTTGAGTCTGGAACCCTTCAATGTTCCAGGCCACCGGAGTCTTAAGCCTGTCTTAAACACACTGGTCTAATCTGGGACCTGATGTCTTGTCTGGTGTCTGTCCGCCATCCAAAAAATAAAAACAAGGACTACAAATCTCAGCTCGTACTTTGTAATGAAGTACCAGGATGTTAAAGTGTCGGCCATCGTCTGTGGGAAGGCTGCACGAGGCTCTGGCCTAAAATAAAAAACACCTGGATGTTGGTCTGACTGCAGGTTATTTCCACTGTTCAATAAGCTGCAGAAGTGTAGCCTGTAGTCTCACTGGAGGGTCCCTTCAGTAGCTGTGCCGGAGCTTTCGGTGCTATCACCTGATCTTCCTCAGCAGATGGGGACCGTTGATGCTCAAATTTAGAATTTTTCTTCGCACTTCGCTGAAGTTTATGCTTGACCTTCGAAAACAGCAGTTAGGAAAAAGTGTTACGAAGGCTGATTCAGGAGCTTTCGATATTAACACATGAGCTTCATCAGCAGATAGTTTGACAAGAAAGTGTTCAGAAACCAATTTACTGGGAAATGCTTACAAAATATGAACATTTTCTCTGTTGTAAAAGTATTTTTTTTAGACATTAAGTGCAAAAAATTGCTATTTCTTTACTTGACAAATCAATTTCATCACAACAGGTACATTTAGTAGCTGCTCTTGAGCTTTTGATCGTATCGCACAATCTTCATCAGCAGATTGAGTTTGCATGCAGTTGTAGATGTCAAAATTTTGATTTCATTTCATTTTGGTACAGTGATTGAGGAAACAGTCCATTTAGTCGCTGCTGTGGCGTTTTTGATCACATCACATGATCCTCATCAGTTGAGGGGAGCTCTCTCGGGGGGGGATTTGAAATTTTCTGCAATTCCACGACAACTGGGCAAAGTCCCATCTGCTGATGAAGGTCATGTGATACGATTGAAAGCTCCAGTACAGCTACTAAATGGACCCTGTGGTGAGATCAGCTTTTTCAGATTAATCAGAGGGAACATTTGGAGTGTTTCGTCTTCCTGCTGTAACACTCGAGCCTGACTAAACTGGTGTAATCTGGGTGCTTATGCCATGGTGTGTGTGTGTGTGTGTGTGTGTGTTCTGTGATTTCTGCCTGGCTCGTGGCTTGTTACAGTTCAAACTTCCTTCTTCAGCCTCTCTTTCCATTGTTCTGTTTTTTTTCCCGGCAGTAATTTCCTTTCTCTTTTCCACTCTTTGCACTTCTGCCTCTTCCTGATGGCACTCTGGGTCACAGTTTGCTCTGCTTTTTGTTTTTCTGTCTTCTATCCATCTGCTCAAGAATAATTATCTCAGCATCATGTGCGATGTGGCAACTCATCTTAATGTTATTGCACGACAACCTTTTATTTGTTTTATGAAGCCCTTGATGTTGCTGACTCGCCAGGCTCTGTAGTCATTTTTTCATGGCTAGTGGTAATTTTGATTGTACTCTCGGTCTTAAAAACTGTTCAAGACTGCAAGTTTGACTTTTCTTGTACCGCCGTAAATACTGGTCGACCTTGCAATGCAGCTTGTTTTTCTCTGGTTGAATGTGATTCAGACTATAATTCTCTGATCCTCTTCCCTGTGTCTGACAGAAAATTAATTTCCTCCATCGTATCTCATTCTTTCTGTACTATACTTCCTGTATGTGGATTTAATTACAGCAGGGAGTACATAAAGGTCATATTACATTAAAAAAATGCCTTTTTCATTTCACGTACAACCACCAGACACACTATGTATACATATGTGTGTGTGTATTTGGATTTGGAAAAAGAAAAAGAAGAATATTGAAAAGTACTGGTTGCAACTAACAGTTTAAACAGTGTTGTTTATATTCTGGGCTTTGAAAAGCTCAAATAACACCAGAAGTCAAACACTTTTTAAGTTGAACTTAAAAAACGAAAAAAATAAGTTACGTTTTAGGGCTGTCGACTAGTAGTTGTTAGAGAAAGCTGATATTAATTTCAATTTAAATGATATTAACTAAATTATTTATCTATATTTTAACACCCGCCTGTTGAATGATAACAGAAAAAGTGGTAATGAGTCTGAATGTGTCGGAAGAACGAGCAAAGAGAGTGAACATTTAGTTGATTTATTCGTAGTACAACATCACGCAAATCTTGTTGTTCAAAGCGACTTATCGATACGATGGAGGATGTATAACCTGAACAGTTACTCTACTACAAACTCTGCCTCTCTCCTGTCGTTGCCTGAACCCGCCGTGTCTTTATCTTCAGAGTCAGAGTCCTGGTTGGAGCCGCTGTAAATCAGCTGGTCTGTGTGCTGCTGGGTCCCCTGCTCCTACGCTAGTGGTGTTTAAACTGTGTCCTTCCAGCTCCGAGTCTGGGTACGGACAGCGAGTAGGACTGCTAACTATCTAATGGCAGCAGCTAGTACAGTTAACATATTAGGTACGTGTTATATGTTATGTGTTACAAGAGAAAAGATCTGTGTTGCGACAATCCTGTGATTCTCTTGTCACGGTTACAAGGAGAATCCAAATCTGACGTTATTTTTGTTTTTCTGCGACTATCCGACTAATAAAACGTGGGTCGTCTAAGACTCAATGACACAATGCGTTAACAATTGACGTTTTTAGCTTTGGACAAACCCAGGCTAGCTACTTCCAGTATTTACGCTAAGCTAATTGACTCCTGGCTTTAGCTGCTAACAGGCTAATATTAGAGAGGAATCAATCATCTCATGTTACTCGGCAAAGAAAAGCAAAATAAGTGTCTTTCCCAAAGTGTCGAAGTGTTCCTTTAATGTGGCCCACTGAGCACAGGTAAATATCACAATACACATACAGGTGACCTTCTACATTTCACTACAGAGCCAGTTTTTATGTTTGCTGTCACAGATGAAGTCATAAACACACGCTCACAGCTGGAGGCCAGTTTCTCCCACGTATCTTTTCCCAGCATCCCTTTCTCTTACACACAGAACACTTGGAAATGGCTGATAGTCAACAGAAGCTGAGACTGTTCTACTGCTCTTAACTCCGCAGCTCTTATTACCCTCTTTCTGGGCGCCGTGTATAGTTGTTATTCTCATTTCTGTGGGACATTGCTTCACAACAGTGGATGTTTTTTAGGTTCAGATTTCAGAGGATGTACTGTTTTCTTGCCCTGAGGGGTCTTCTCTGTCCTTGTCCTACTCTGCTGTTTTGCATCATCGGATCAGATTAGAGAACAAACCTCTGCTTTGCATTTTCATTTAATTTGTGTACATAAACTTTGTACAGGTGTGTATATTTGGTTATTGGTTAGTGTTCTAACCAATAACATATATATATATGATCAAACCCCCCCCATCTGTATTGTCTGTCAACCTTTAAGCCCCATGTATAGACCAACCAGAGTGAGCTTCTCCTCTTCATACAGTGCAGCAGATAATTAGAGGGGCTATGTTAAGGTCACACACACACACACACACACACACACATACACCTTCTGTAACTTAAGAAACATAAAGGCAAATGTTTATTTCTGAATGCGTCCTTCCACATTTATAACCTCCACCCTTGCTAAATGACTGTTTATGTGTATTGCAGCCTTCCACATGGCAATAACTGTACTTTTAGGGAATAAGTGTTTTTGATTCCTGTTGACTCTGTTATTGGCTTCTCAACGGCAGCCCCCACTGCAATTTTAACCAGATTGTTTCAATTATGGGATTATTCATATCAACAAGTTGAAGAGTGGTTGTTTGTCCCTGTGAACTGCTGGTTTAAGAGCGGACAGTTAAATTACATGACGTCTCATAGTAATTCACTCGGTGGGGATGGTCCTGCACACCCTCTTCAGTGCAGCAAGTATCCAATGGTTCGTATCAGTGTTTTGTTATTAGAAGAAAATATAAGATACATAAAATCTACATGTTCTGTGTTTTTTTTGCCAGGGTGTACTTTAAATTTAGGTACCTCGTCCCAGCTTAGATGAAATCTTTCTGGCCGAAATGTTTAAACAACTATAATAAACTGGATAGACTGTAATAACTTTGGTGATCCCTTAACTTTTATCTGCCTCCATCATCTGCTCAACATTTCAATTTGTTTTTTAACACTAATTTAAAG